ACAGTTCCGATAGTGTAGTGGTTATCACATCTGCCTAACACGCAGAATGTCCCATGTTCGAGACCTGGTCGGAACAAGTCATTTTAGTTCAAATCATGTTATCAGAATTTACTAACTTTGGTTAAAAAATCGTGTTTTGAATTAGTGTCAATGAAAAATAATTTTAACATGTTCCGATAGTGTAGTGGTTATCACATCTGCCTAACACGCAGAAGGTCCCAGATTCGAGACCTGGTCGGAACAAGTCATTTTAGTTCAAATTATGTTATCAGAATTTACAAACTTTGGTTAAAAATTGTGTTTTGAATTAGTGTCAGTGAAAAATAGTATTAACATGTTCCGATAGTGTAGTGGTTATCACATCTGCCTAACACGCAGAAGGTCCCAGGTTCGAGACCTGGTCGGAACAATACATTTTAGTTCAAATCATAGTTATCACAATTTGCAAACTTTTCTTACAAAATAGTTGCTGAAAATCATCACAGTTCCGATAGTGTAGTGGTTATCACATCTGCCTAACACGCAGAAGGTCCCAGGTTCGAGACCTGGTCGGAACAATACATTTTAGTTCAAATCATGTTATCAGAATTTGCAAACATGTCTTAAAAAAAGAGATCATGAAAATCATTACAGTTCCGATAGTGTAGTGGTTATCACATCTGCCTAACACGCAGAAGGTCCCAGGTTCGAGACCTGGTCAGAAAAGTAAATTTTAGTTAAAATCATGTTATCTCAATTTACAATCATAGGTTATAAAATAGAGTTAATGGTAATGAAACCTGTTCTGATAGTGTAGTCGATACCACACACAATCATGTATCATGTAAACGATCCCAGGTTCGAGACCTCAACTTATTATAATAAGAAATGTTAAATTTACAAACTCGATGCTACAAATATCATATACTAAAGCCTAAGGCTAAAACATACTATGGTAGTGAGTCTAAGGTTAAATAAAAATCCATGAGATCTCGTTTAATATTGGTTGTGAATTGCATATATACTGTGTGGTATGATCGAAGAATTTTATTTATATACCAAATTATTGCATAGGAGTTCCTGAGAGGTCCATCAGTAGAGCAGGAGACTTCATGGCAGGTTCATACCACTCGCCATACCCCCAATATCGGCTCGTTTACCGTGCCAGCACACCTACAGACTGAGTTAAAGAAACACGAGTATGGGCCTACAACACAACGAAAAATAAAATCTGTGAGTATATATGTTCTTTCTTAAAATCAGTATTTCTTATTCCTAAAATCTTTCTTAAAATGCGTCATTGAACATGATATTTATTTTGTAGCAATGTTATACTTGAATCACCTGTTGCTCGCATGTTCACTTCCTACTGTAGCATTTTCCCAGCGAGAGTAGCAAGCCAAAGGTTCAGCTGCCATATGTTACACAGCCTGGAAAATGTCCCCGCAAGGTTGAGATAGAGAGGTGAAGTAGTGTTATCTTTGGATTATATTTTGAGAAATATATCTATATAAAGAGATCACAGTAAGATGCCATTGTGGCACTTTAGAACGTACCTTATACAGTGTCTAATAAAATAAAGCTGATTAATTTCTGTCTAAGAAAAAAAGTGTTTTTACATAATTTATCTATATATAGTCCAATTGGCTTGATTGCAGGCGAAAGAGAGATTATGCAAGGCAGGACATCAAGAAACTTTTACTGTCACACAATATTAAGACGGAGCAATTGATACCCACACAAGTTGAACAATTTGCGAATAACTTGGATGTTAACAAGGCTTCATTCCCAGTATTTTTATCGCTGGAGATCTTTGATGACACAGGTACAGCTTGAAGCTGGAAGGATGGCATTGTAATTTGTATAATTACTGCTATTTCATACTAGCTGTTACCAGTGTAGAACTTATATACACTTACACTGCGGAAAATATGAAAGAGTAGTGATCTTCTCCATTACCATTTATTAAACTTGTACGAGGTTCTGCCTTAGAATCAGTATTCTCAGGAGTTAACCACAAATTACCCATGAAATTCAACAATAATATTCAACATGATATTTAAATAAATATACTAATATATAAAAATAATTATTTATATATATATATATATATATATAAATATTATATTTTGTTAAAATTAATATTGACTAATGATAAATAAAACAGTAAATGTTGTGTATTTCTTTTTAGCTCATCTGACATAGTCAGATGCAGCTTGTAGAATCGCACGATCGTCCGTCCGTGCGTGCGTCCGTCCGTCCGTGCGTCCGTCCGTCAACAGTTGGGCACAAATCTTAACCGCTCGACGTACGGTCACGATATTCGGCACATCGGGGGGGATCGTC